ACACACACACACACTCACACACACACACACACACACACACACACACACGCACACACACACAAACTCTCTCTCACAAACACTCACACACACACACAGCAGCTGAAAAAAAATAAATGTCCTATTCTGTGTTTTCCAGGTAAAATATGTAAACATTGTAAAATAAAGACATGTTTTTTTAAAAAGCTAAATTAATCAAGATATTAAGTCTTGTTTTCTGAAAAATGTAGTAAAATTAAATGAGCTTATGCTTAAAACAAGAACAAATATCTGCCAATGAGGTCAAAAAAGTAATCTTGCCCATATGGTAAAATATACAAAAAATGGCCAAAACAATTGCTAAAATATATTTACGAAAATATATTTTCTTCCAATATATTTCTGGCCATATTTTGTATATTTAAAAAAAATATAAATATATATTTTAAAACAATTTAAAAATATATTTTGCTCTCCATATTTTTCAATCCATTAAAATACATTCACATGTCACATTTGAAGAAAAATCAGCAGGGAACATACTGTACAGTGTTCCAGAAAAGCATCTACTATATAATTAGAAATGTTTTTGTTTTTTTTTGCCCCTGAAATACACTTTTAAATATATTTTGGTATATGAAGGTTAAACAAAATATATTTCCAAGTTCAAAAAATATATCTCGTTGAGCTTTACTGTTTACAACAAATATTTAGCATATATATATATTTTTAAATTTTTTTATTTTTTTATTTTGAAGTTTATTTTTCTTATCCAATTGACAGACATTTATTCATGTTTTGAACATAAATTTGCTTAATATTGATTTTTTTTTCAGAAAACAAGACTTTATATCTTGAGTCATTTTGCATCTCAAGTAAATGTATCTTGATTTAAAAATGTTTAGGTATTTATCATGGAAAACAAGATTTGAAAAATACTGAGTAATAAAATCATATTTTGCAGTGAATTCAGCCTAAAATTACATCCCATTAAAAGCTCCTCGGAGCAAACGGTAAACATTTACATTATTTTTGCTTCATATGATACACAGAAAGCTGTAAACATGCAGCACTCTGTGTTTGCACTTTGAAAACAATTCATTCCTATGCACCGTATTAAAACAACTGAAAATATGTTGCTCAAAACCAGCAGGCAGTAAAAATAGAAACTGTAAATCTGTGATAAGACACTGTTTGCACCTCTGGTTTATTAGGTTGTGCACTGTAAAAAAAAAAAAAATTATTGTTTTCCAGTACAAATATCACGCTTTGCTTACTGAAAAATGCATACAAATTTATTGACAAAATCTGCCTGTGGGGTCAGAAAAATCCCAAAAACAAGATTATTTTATTCTGAGATTATATTATTTCTGACCCCATAGGCAGATATTTTCTCTCTATCTTCAGCAAAACAAAACTTCATATCTTCAGTCATTATGTGAAATGTATCTTGTTTTAAGACGAGACAGAAATACTGAACAAGAAAATATCTACCAATGGAGTCCGAAAAATAATCTTGTTTTCCCTTTGAATTAAGTTGAAGTTTTCTGACCCCGTAGGCAGATATTTGTTCTTGTTTTAAGCAAAAACTTAATACATTTTTTCAGTAAACAAGACAGTCGTTTAGTTCAAGTCAATGTATCTTTATTTAAGAATCTTTAGACATTCCCACTGGAAAAAAATACGGAGTAAGATCATATTTGCAGTGTTTGATGATAAGATAGAGGTAATGTAAATAAGTTGTTTTTCTCAGCGGTCAGGTGTTAATCTCAGACGTTTAGCAGCTTCTCAGCATGAAGCATGTTGTCGTTGGTCTCTCTGAGGACTAATCATAGACGTTCGTGTTATGATCGTGACTCGGCGACCCCAGAACTACACGCATGGCCTGGATATTAGATCAGTTCACTGTTAATCTTCATTAAAAGCTCATTATGAAGCAGATTTTCCGTACCTGTGGCTGCGAGCAGCTCCTCTGCGTTTCTTTCCAGGTTTATCTGCTTGTTTACAGCTCATCTGTATTTAGACGCCTGCATGAACATGCTGCTATTTTTAATGCCTCGTGTCTTTACATGTTCTCACTATCACACATACTGACCTGTAAATGACACACAGCTTCAGCTTTACGCCTGATGATATAACACACACCTGCATTCACACATATAGCTTATTGTTCTTGAAATAAAGCAAGCGTGACCTTTATCTGACGGGTCGTGACCTCTGAAATGTTGCACATGTTGACCTTTCATCTCATTACACACATTACTTATCACTCGCTCACGGCTCTGGATTCATCACACACACACACGTAGAAAACATGCTGCGATCTTTATTAACATCAGCTGAAGTCACATTTATTTCTGTAGCACTTTATACAAAACGCTTTCAAAGCAGCTTCACGGAAATAAACAGGAAAATGACAGAATCGATGCAAACATCATCAAATATGAAGCAAATGCAATATAAATCTTAGAACAAAACATCCTTAAAGTAATGTTTATGGAACGCTCTTATAACTTTAATAATATTTGATATACGTTCTCATAAACTTGATCTTAGAACAACGCACTTAAAACATCCTGTACTTGATGAACTTTCTAAGAAACGTTTTTGTAACCTTTAAATAACGTTCTAATCACAACAAGAAAACTGGATATTTTAACATTCTTAGAATATGAAAAATAAATGTTCAAATAACATTATATGTAGGGAAAATCAGTGTTGGGGGGTAACGCATTACAAGTAACATGAGTTACATAATCAGATTACTTTTTCAAGTAACTAGTAAAGTAACGCATTATTTTTAAATTTACAACAAAATATCTGTTACTTTTTCAAATAAGTAACACAAGTTACTTTGTTTTCGCATGTATTGACTGACAGCTCTCCTGTCCTCATGTTGAGAGAGTTACTTTTTTAGAGAATAACGCAATATTGTAACGCATTACTTTTAAAAGTAACGTCCCCAACACTGGAGAAAATAAAATTAGTGGAACATTTAAGAAATGTTTTTGGGACTTTTAAATAACTTTATAATCCCAACAAGAAAACTGGACATTTTAACATTCTTAGAATATTAAAAATAAACGTTCAAATAATGTTATATTTTGGGTGAAAATACAATTAGTGGAATGTTTAAGCAATATTTTTTTATTCTTTAAATAATGTTCTAATTACAGGAAGAAAACTGAATTTTAATGTTCTGTTGCAACGAAATGTTCAAATAACGTTATATTTTGGGAAAAAATAAAGGTAGTGGAATGTTGTAAGAAACATTTTTGTAACCTTTAAATAACGTTATAATCACACACACACAAAAACACAAAACAACCTGGACATTTCAACGATTTAGAAACATTTCAAAACAATGTTCCTACAACGTTTTTTTATAAACTAAATGTATTACCTGGAAAACAGCTCTAAAAGACAATAGTGTCGTTATTCAGCTCAATTCAGTTTTGTTCTCATGTGTCATTGCAGTTAAATTAGTAATATTACTGAATATTAAGTCAGTAATATCAGTTTTACAGAACAGACAGTTACAAAGCAGTCCAATTTTTTTACCGTATATTAGCTATGAGGTCTGATATTGAATTATATGCATCATTTGTCTTCCATATGCAGTGATTTGATGTTTCTTTGATGTTGATGATCCTGTGATGCAGCAGACGTTAGATCATGAGACGCACAACTGATGATCAAATGTGCAGGAGACCGGGGCTAGTTGTCACACAGAGGTTGTCAGGTTTTGAGTTATATAGCAGTGTTTTCGGATTTAGTTGTTATGTTAGATAACATATTTCTGCAATTCAGTACAATGTTTGTTTAATGGGTACCCCATATACTGTGACAACATGCCCCGCTATAGACTCAACATGCGTTATATGAACACTGTTGTTGTAGCTCTGTCCCAAAATGTAAACGATAAAGAGAAAAAGTAACATAATATAACATTAAATCAATCCCAAACCAATGTTTTCGAACATGAAACAACCCCCAGACTGAGCAGCAGAGTGCAGTATTGGTCAAGTGAAGACACTCAACAGGAAGCACACTGTTAAGTGGCTCAGATGTCTGATACAGCACTGCGGTGATGATGTATTTTTGTAGTTTGCATCACCCTGATTCCCTCGACAACAACCCAACAGGATTTTTCCATTTTGGATTATTGCAGAACATCAGTGACCAACAGAAGTTTATAATTCTTACACATTTTATTCATCACGATCATCTTTACAAATGAACACAACTCTTCTGAATTATGAAGCCGATGCCGTTTATGCGAATGTTTGAGAAACAATCCATTATCATTTTGAAACCATTAAGAGAATGTTATTTCTGAATGTTTTTGAAACCCTCAAACTCTCCAGTTTTTAAAAAATATTTACATTTAAAAAGAATGTTTCTCCTCAGTTATGTAACATTACATTTTATCATTTGAAACCATTATGAAAACATATTTTTGAATGTTTTTTTATTTATTTTAAGAACAACCAGTTTTTTTATGTATTATTATATTCTATAATTTTGAAA